ACCTTGGGAAGGCTCTCAAATTTATTCTTCCGCAAGATTAAAGTTTCCAGTTTAGTTAGTTTGCCACATTTTTGAAAAAGCAAATCTGTTAAATCATTCCTAAAAAAGTTTAGGTATCTAAAGGAACTGTCAGATGCAGGACAAAGCATATGAATCATCTCTGCTCCGGCTATTGTCAAACTGTCAATATTCATGTTTGCAAAGATTCTGTATATGTCATTCTGTGTGAAGTACAGATCTGTCATTTGGAAGTTTTCCACTGTAACTGCTTTCATAGAGCTGCCTGAATAGTCAAAGTCATAGCGTTCGATTTCCGACAGTTGGATTACGTTGCTAACACAGAAATATTCAATGGACGAGTGCCACGCAGCCTGAAAAATGTCCATAAGAGCATTCCAGTTCACCGACACATTTGTCAGTGTCAGATTTTGTAACCTGGAGCCTTGTCTGAAGCTTGATAATAAAGCTATCAACTCTTTTACATTGTCATTTGTGATTTCTGACAATGACAGACTTTCTGTAGTATTTTGTATCACAACCCAGTCAAAATTATCTTGGGACTGATGTCTATTTATATCGACAAGTGGCAGCATCTTGATTTTTTGGTCAGAATGATCTTCTCGAAAATCGTTAGAAACGGATGTAAAGAGTTCATTTTCTACAGACAGGCTGACATGGGTCCAAAAAGTTAATGCAAACAGACAATTGTAAAGAAAAAGGTTTCTGAGAGAGCTCATATTTTCTGTCATATCCCTTGGTTTCCTTGGAGATGCTCAATAATTTTCTTATCTGTCCATCTTTATTCTAATCCTGTAGCAAAACAAACAAACAAAAGCAAAAATTATTAAGTGGCTATGCAGAAACCATCAGAGAGGGAATTTTTAAGGTTCCAATTTTTCATCTCTCTCTTTTGCTCAAAAAGCAATGAAAGCACCTATTATCATTCAGGAGAAACATCCTTTATTAGCAGAACACCACTGAAATTTCAGTTTGACCAACACGCTGTATTTAATACATGAGTCAGTTTCTTAAAACACATCTGATTTCACAGGTGACTAAAATTTGCTGCTTACTTACAGAATTACTGCTGTGATACAATGAAGGCTTCCCACAACTGTGGAATACACTTTAATCACAAAGTACAACCTTTGAGGTCAGCAGGGTCATCCTCTCCTCAGATTCTCTCTTGAAGGGTGCAAACTAGACTCAGTGACTTTTTTTTAAAAAATAGACTTGTGACTGTAACACTTGGACTGAAACACAGGATGGAGGTACAAGAGTCTGAATCAAAATCTTAATGTCTTTAGGTAGCTGAGTGCTTATTTTAACTGGGGAGACTGGGGCAAGGGTAGGATGTTCTATGTTTATGCTATGGGAAAGTCCACAGAAGAGCTCACTTCTTGTCTGAGCTTGACTATTTGTTGAACTTAGACTCTGAAAGTGGAGTGCTCATGTGTCTGGTTTGCCAGGTGTACACAGGGGACACCAAACACCCACTGGGAATATTTGCATATAAAACAAAAATACACCAGTTGTAGAACCTCTGTATACAAAATCTGATCAAAGGACACTGACCTCAAATGTCTCTGTTGTGAAAGAGAGACTTATTTAAACACATTGTAGAGAAAAAAAACCATAACCGTGGCTTTGCTTTGACTTTTCCTAATGCAGGTCACTTTTCCTTTTTGAATGTAGGAGTTCAGGGGGGCCCACTTCCCTTTACATCAGTATCGCCTTAAGAGCTTTAAGAGAAATGGGATTTAAAAAAATCTACCTTTAAAACATTATTCCTTCTTGGTACAAAATTTTAGCAATATCCAGGGACTAGATGAAAGAAGGATCTTATTCTTCCACATTCTCTCTCATTATTCTGGCATTCAGACAAATTATTGAAGAGTACCTTTAAACTTTCTTTAGAATATCCTATGAAGCAAGAAAATTAACAACTGTTATAACACATAGCCTGTGATTTGGGGGCTAACACAAGAAATTATCCTCTATAGTCATATCTCTTTCAATTCAGAAGTATCCTCAAGTCTTCAAACTTGACAAAAACCTTTATCAAGAAAAATAATCCATGAGGGTAAGCAAATCAAGGTCATAGCAAGAAATTGTCCCATTGTTAAAAGAGCAAGAGAAGAAATCAAAATTGATGTTTTAAGAGTTTTTCCAATGTAAAATTGGTATGAATTCACTAGTACAGAATATACTGAGCTACAACAGTTCAATATTAAGGCACTTTACAAGTTATCAGCATAACACAAAACCCTAGTGTTACAAATATGCCTTTCACAAGGATCAAACATATTATCAAGTTAGTTCCATTCCTGAACTGCAGAAAAGCCATTTCCACTAAATCACTGTGACCCCCTGAACTACGGGTGTAATGCTAATATGAAGACACTGCTATTTGGCCACCTCTTTGGATAAATGTACTGAATATAAGCAATTTCACCCTTGTTTCTTACCCATACACTTGAAAGTACATCATACACTTGCTAATAACCCTCATTTTCAAATAAGATGCAGAATATAAAACAGTTCTAGCTAACTGGCAACTTCATAAAAGCAATAAAATGAACATTTTCTCACCAGAAATTCCTGGTCTCTGAAAAGCAGAAATGTACTCAGGAAAAGACAAAAAAGAAAACTTCCTGTAACTCTATCCTACTGAGTAACACTACTTAGGAACACCCAAATTTTTTATATAAATGTTTGTGCCATATACTGACAGCTTCTGAAATGGCATTTGCTTTCAACATACAACATTACTGGAATACCCTCATTATTCAGTTATTATTCAACTATGTGTTTTCATGCTTTGCAATAATTAAACAGGGGGGAAATTAATCTTTTTACCAACTTTCTGTCTTCATCAGATTCGTATAAAAATAAGCACTTTTTTATATAAATGTTTGTGCCATATACTGACAGCTTCTGAAATGGCATTTGCTTTCAACATACAACATTACTGGAATACCCTCATTATTCAGTTATTATTCAACTATGTGTTTTCATGCTTTGCAATAATTAAACAGGGGGGAAATTAATCTTTTTACCAACTTTCTGTCTTCATCAGATTCGTATAAAAATAAGCACTTTTTTGAGTTACCAACTTTCTGTCTTCATCAGATTCATATGAAAATAAGTACTTTTTTTGAGCAAGTTTTACACTGAAATTCAAACATGTTCCTCTCTGAACCTAATAATGTTATGTCTATATGTATTATTATGAAGTTTTTTCCCCATTTTGCTATACCAATATAGTTGTCAAGTTCTAATCGAGGCTGGTTTATAAAGGTATCATTTGTCTTAGTTTAATTTTCATTTAATGGGAATGAAAAAATAATCTCTCTTCTGCTCCAGCAGTGTTGTGTTCGGGTTAAATAGTGGACATGGAAACAGTGGGTGGAGAGGTTTGGGGTTTTTTTAAAATAAAACAGAGCAGTGACTTTGGTACTGAATGCCCAAACACTTGGGTGATTGTTCTGTCAAAGACATAAACCAGTCTCTCTTTATTTCTGCATAATGTTGGCCAGAAATTCCATCACAGTTGAGATCTATATATAGAACTGCCACACTACAACCTACCTCTCTGGGTTGGCACACCATAACTTGGCCATAATTTAAAATTTCAATGATTCAGGAATGACCCCAGGATTCCTCTGGGAAATGATCTTAAAAAATTACATTTTCACTTTAAAGCTCATTCTGCCAATTCTATTTCATTTCTCATCTTCAAGTGAAAAGAGGTCATCCAGAAAAGGAAGGGAAAGCTAGGACAGGTAGTAAGTGACAAAATATGGAAAATTCTCTGCTATCATGCTGATGAGCCTTATAGTGGTACTCTATGATGTTATCATTTATTCTCCATTTCTGTCAGTTCAGACAAGAGTATTCACAGTTGGTTTCCAATGACACCTTTTAATGATGTTACGTACAAACCTCACCATTGCCTACCCTTAGCTGGAAAGGTTTGCTATCCATCCTTAGGAAGAGATTAAATCCAAAGGTAAGATCTTGCTTCTTCCTGTTTAGGAATGTAACAGCTGAACTGCTTGAATATAGCCTACATATTACTCTAATGAATACAGAACCAGATGTACAATTGGTTAACATGTAATAACTGCCTGCAATTAGAGATTCTTATTCAAGAGTATCTCTTCAATTCAGTGGCAGTATGAACTGGCCTCTGGCATAGTCTGTATGCCTATATACTAACAAGAGAGATGAAGTATATGTTAAACAGCAAAATAAGCATATTACCATTAATTGTATGCCATTAGCCCTTCAGATTTACCACTCAGATTTACCAGTGCAATCACTGGAAGTAGATGAATGGAGTCCTTGAATGTTATGCATAATTCCATGTTCTGTTAAAAGTAGTAAAATGTCTTCCCATCTTTTCTTTATATTTATCTAGTTATTAAAAGGTAAGTACCTCTCCTGAAACCCATGGAAGTTGATGACACTCAGAGTAAGAACAAACTTCAGTGAAATCTGAGATGAGTGGAAGTGTTCACTCTCTAATGCTTATTTACTCCCAAACTATTTGCAATATTGTCATAGTGTGACAATACAAGTGAAATTGATTAGTGAAAATTGAAAAAGAAAAAAATTAGAAAATGCAAGTGCTAAATTCAAAAAAGTAATTTAGGGACTTAGGAAATGTGTACATCCTTCTATCCAAACAGACATACACATTTACAGATGTACAATGTTAATTTCACCCTGAAGTAACAACTTTCTGTTACAACTAACAATGTCTTGCAGTTCTATATTATGAATGGTCTTGTACATTGCAAAACTGACAGTGTAAGATACATGTTACAGTTCAAATTACCACCTGTCATGGGGAAAACAACCTCCAGCTACCACAATTCCTCCTAAGACACTGCCCTTACTCACCCACAATCTCCACTGAAGGGCAGAGGGAAATCCTTAGGGCCACTCTAGACTTCCTTTTCAATAGATACATCTAACATTAATAGATTAACCATCATTCCCTGACACTTAAATTCTCACTGAAAAACCTTCCAAATAAACTTATTATTTAGGGATACAAACATTTGTTGTGCTACCACCTACCTTGATGAGAAACTTCAGAGACTTTTGCCTGGTAAGCATTGAAGTCCCAGTGTGTGCCCAGTATTTGCAAAGCAAGCTGCTGAGAACTGGAGCTTTTTTTTTTTTATGACCTCCTCTAGTAGCTCTCCTCAGCGATTCACAACCTGTTAATTTGCCTCCAGTGGCAAAAGTATTTGTTTCTTCCGCAGAGTGTCGATAGAAACGATGCTATGATGAAGCATGGAACTGCCCTTTCTGCCTGTAAAGGACATGCTTCGCCTTGAAACGAAGAGGCAAAAAGAGGAAGGGGTATGAGGAATTAGAGACAAGAACCACAAGCTGTTGGGCAAGAGCCTGCAAACCCTTTGCTCAACCAAGGACTTCTCGGGGGCCGCCCAGTGCCGACACCAACTTACTGGAAAAGCGTGCAGAGATTCTGCCAGGGACATTTCCTGCAAACACTGCAATAACGAGGGTGCAGAGAGGCATCTGGAAACTAAACCTCAGCTGTTTACTTCCGCAACCCGAGGCGCCAGTCGATGCTTTGAGGAAGTGATGCCAAGAAAACCTGGAAG